TAAACAAGTTGCAGGTATATACAATAAGCTGCTCATTTTATATCAGGGTCTATAATATAGAGTTAAAGAGAGCAAGTATATGAAACCTGACCTTAAATTGTGCGAATGAAGCAGCATGTGCTTCAAGAGCTTGACTACGCTACTGATCAACAGAGAAAAGTTGCATGTTCCCCTTAACCAGTTGTGGTCTCTGAAAGAGACAAGGCATGTAGTCAAAATTAAAACAGTATAGTGACAGCAAACATGGCTTTCTGTAATCTGTAGAGGGAACTTCGTAACTAATAATGATTATGCAAGGAACTATTCTAAAAATAAAGGGGGATTACAGGATGCAAATCCAACACGACAGCCTTACAGACAATAAATCACCTATAAAGAGTTACTAAATTAATTCACAAAGTTCACCCTAGCAGATTGAATAGTGCACCCCACCCCACACTCACACAACAACCACGGAAGCTTGAAGAACTTAGGCCCAGTTAGCTTAGAAAAAGGAAGTTTTCTGCTCCTGAAACCTAATTCAAATGAAGCAACATCGTCTTCTTCACAACAAAAATGTATCACCTTTAGAAAGCATAAATACGTCAACCACATACCTCAGGTGCACCTGGGCAATTCCAATTAAAACCAACCATTTCTCGGAAGGATCACATTTATAGTTTATTATCTGATTGTTCACTAAATTTGATGTTTTCTCAAACATCCTAACTGGTTCAGAGTCCCCTGCCACAAAAGAAATTATAAAGAATAGATAAACACACATTCAAAACAGAATTTTATTTTTAAGAAGAACAAAGTAGAACTGCATGTGATACTGGATAAAGTATCACAATAACATATTACCTTCAATTGACCAATGATACACGGAGGTCTGTGTGACTAGGCCAAGCATTTTTGGGGAAACCCATTTCCAAAATACAACCTGGACCGCTGGACGAGAACCCAGGAGAGTTTGCTAAGCTAATGCAATCAAGTTTACTATCAAGAAAAAGCAATGAATGTGGAAAGGCAGATAGCTAACAGTACAATGTACTGGAAAAAGAAAATGAGACAACAATTGAATTTTACCTGTTCAGGCATTTGATGTGATTTCATTTTTGCTTTCATTTCTATGTTAAATATTTGCAAATGGTCTTGAGTTGTTCCCGGAAGTTGAGCTACAAAAGCAATGTCAAAGTTCATGATCATAATGCACAGATAAATATAAAATCAAGGGAGACATAATAGTTAAGATATTGAATTCTTTCTCCATTAAATTGAAGCAAATTATGGGGATGCCATGTAATTCGTGACCTGTATTCAAGCATACATTTATTTTCTTTGCAGACACAAATTGAAGCAAATTTGGCTATACAAATAGTCCTGCCAATTTGAGTATCTGTATCATCATATTGTTTAAGGTATTTTATAATAATATAAAATTTGATTTGTTAATAATTTGTAATGTAAAGATCTTGAGATATTTGTGTATCTATGTTGTGATTGTGTTTTCTCATGTTGTGCCATGTTTCAAGTCGTGTTTTAGTTATTTACACGTATCATGTTTAATATTGCATAGACTATGTAGTAGGAACAAAAAAACAATCAGCACTCCGAGCAAATTGTTCCAGGCAAACTAAACAAATAGATGTGCAAATACATAACCGACCAATATACTGATAAAACAGTGGAACAGAAAAGTATTTATCACTACAAACACAGTAGTTCACAGACACTTGCCATAAGAAAGATCCTTCATTAAAAAGTACAGCCTCACATTCTTTATTCATTTTAAAAAGCAAAAACAAGTAGCAACTAACATTCGAAAGAAGCCAATGAGTGTCAATTCAAACAAGATTCTATAGCACAAATATTCCATAGAAAACACTACCAGAAACAACTAGGTTGTTGATTAGCCAGAGCCTCATCTAACAATATAAGAAAAACAGTTGAGCACTATCAATCCAATATGAGCTCTATGACCATATAAAATAAATATGTTGAATATATAATCCTCAAATAAGAAAAATGATAAATAATCACAAACAATTATGAAGCAGTTCATGTGATCTGAAAAAAAAAAAACTGCTGCTAGTAAAGGTAACTGACCTTTCAGAGCGAGGATTCTACAATCTGGATTCATAAGAGCAGAGTCAGCTGTAATAGGTCGTCTCAACGGCTGCATTGGCATGTTCATGTCGATGATCACAACACTATTTTGCGGTGCAGTTTCTCTCACACAAATGTACTTGTCAGATTCCATATTTACGTTCGTGAATGTGATGAACTAAGGATTAATGCCAATGCTTGGCAACTGCAAAAACGAAACCGTGCATATCACTCAAAATTGTAACAATTTCGAAAGCATACAAAAGAAGTTCAAAACAAATACAAGCAGAAGTTAGCATAGATTACATCCAATAAGGTTATGAAGTATTAGATGAAGCTTAATAACAAATTACTAACCATACTTTAGCTGAAATTTCAATAGAATCAAATGAATCGAAACGTTGAGTGGGATGAACCAGACTGAAATGAAAAGACTTACAGTTAAGACCTCCTTCATGGACATGGGAGCGTTCGCTGTCGCCATGGTGGCTCAGATCGACGGACGAAGGTGCAACAATCAGGAGCAGATCTACGGCCGAGATAGAATCTTTCAATTACAAGTCAAAACGGAACACCGAGAACGAGGCGCGAAAAAATGAAAATCTCTGCTAAGGGATCTGAAGCAGGGATAAAGAAGAGTTGAAAATCTATAGAAAGAATAAAAGAACTGAAGAGAAAGAGAAGCAGAGACCGGTTCAAACTAGGTTACCGGTGAAGATACAAAATGGAAGAAGGAAGAAAGAGTAAATTGCATAAATATTAGAAGGGTAAAATACACGTTTAATATCTGAACTATCACTTTTATTCCATTTTCATACTCAAACATTATTATTTTTCTTTCAAAACCGCAGTTAAAAATGGCATGGGAGTCAATATAGTATTGAAATAAAACCAACAACAGAATTTACATAGAAATCAAAAGCAAGTAGCAAACTATCATTATTGTTCTTTAATTAGTTTTTTTTAATCAATAGGCATTGAAATAAAATCAACAACAAAATTTACAAATTATGAGAGTCAAACTCACACCCTCCAATTGAAGCAGTAGAAGCTTGCCACTAGATCAAACATTTTTTTATAAATATATTCTCCACAACTTATATTTAATGCATATTGGGGGGCCAAGCTTTTGCTGCTTCAGATGGAGGGCGTGGGTGACTCCCATGCATGATGCATTACAAATTTTGTCGTTGGTTTTATTTTAATACGGTGGTGACACCTGTACCATCCTATTGGTTAAATACAATTAATTAATGAAAAATATTATTTAATTATTGATGTAGAAATTAAAAAAATATTAAACATTATATATGATTTTGAAAAAAAAAAAATTCAAGTACTAAAATGAAATAAAATAATAGTTTAGATACCAAATGTATATTTTATCCATATTAAAATTACGGATATTTCATTTATTTATTGGATTATATCTAGTATAATAATAACAAAAAATATTCGAAGCAAAAGGCATGACAATAATATTACTATAATAATACTGTTATTATTTCATATATAACATAAAGCATAATGAGATTTGATTGTTAAAACAAGAATATAAATTCAAATTTAGAGATCCTAAAAATGATAAATAATCAAAACCTACTGTTTTCGTGGGTTGATCGGTTCATGTCTTCCCTTGAGATGAACCAGACAAAGACAAGTGCAGCGGTTGGTAGCGTACAATTGTTTTAGAAATGGCCAGTTGAGGGTGAAATCAGAATTTTCAACCAACGCCTTTTGTTTATCAAACCTGAGATTGTAATTTAACCATTAACATTTGCATCTCTCATATTACTCTCTCACGTCGGGCTCTGACTATTTAACCACCGCCATACATACATTCTTTACAATCATTGAGAGGTGTTTCCATTTTCTGAAGTGCTAAAAAATGCAGAGAAATTAAGGTTCATATAAAAAAAACAAAGCAAATCGTTGACTAATTAATTAGACCCTTTATTCATTCCTCAATTCAAAAATCATTCCTAATGCCATTGTGCAAGTGACTTGTTCAAGGAGGAAAAAAAGACCTTGCATTTATTTGCTGGTTCATCGACAATCACAAATTTAAACAGAGTGTCGTGAGAAAATTATTTTCGAACACAAACAATGTATCCAAATTCAATTAGATGGTCTAAAGTAAGGTAGATCAACATGATAACAAATAAGTGTCATATTAATCAGTCGAAAAGACGTCAAATCCAACTCTGAGCAAATTAAACGAAGAAAATAACCAAACAACCAATAAAAAAAACGTACAAAAAGGTAGATAAAAACATACCGTAAATACAGAGAAAAACATGTCATAAAGGCATAATTATTAGAAACTAAAATGTGAAGAAAAATAAAGATTTGATAGAAAAATAATGAATACTAACAAGCAACAACCATCATAAGACCCGATATCATCCCTAATCAAATAAAATGAAAAGAAAAAAAAAAGGTAAACGACTAGGACAAAGAAAAAGGATAAACGGCTAGGGCAAATCCTTTGATAGACTTGATCATAACTCTTAGAAATATAATATTTTTAATGAATTAAATATTTTACTTTAGAAATTCATCTAGCATTTGTAACAAGCAATTAATTGAGTGGCTCATTTGTAGTATTACCGGTAATTAAGTGACTTATGGTGCAATTACCCTTTTAGCTTCTTTCATTCTTCTCCTCTCATTGCCTCTCCTTCGTCTCCTCATGAACTAATCCCCTTCCCCATGAGTTGGCATTGGCTAAACAGCAAACTTCAATTTCCAATCGGGCCTGATTCAACCCCAGTGGATCAGTCCTTCAGCGCGGGTCTATCCCATTATCTTTCAACGTCAACGCGTCGGGTTGATTTAAAAAATATATATACACACTCAATCGGTTTCATGATTTACAGGTTACCAATACAATAACCAAACATGACACTATTAAAGAAAAAAGTACTTGTATAAACACCTTTATTCTCTTTCAAAGTTTACAACATATGGCACTGTACAATTTTGTGCATTGGCTTAATCCCAGTTATGCTTGGTGAATGATAAATTTGCATTCCTGGCTCCCCCACCTCAAGTCCCCATTATATCAAACAAAGGACAAAATCAAAATTTTTTGATGGTCCATATGACCGAGGCAATGGAAACACTCCCCCTCCCCAAGAAAAGAAAAACCTGAACAGATAATGCGAATTATGTCTATGTGTCACAAGTTAGCAATGATGCGTGTGTAAAGGAATTCATTCCAAATGTCTGGTAATCCTGGAAGGCACCAGTGGATACAATCTGCAAAAGTGGCCGGATCAGCTTTCTGTTCTGGGGTAAGCATTTTGCCTTGACGGATGGTATAGACCGAGGTATGTGCATATTTTCTGTATTCGGATAGCCTCGTAATGTCAATAAAATGAACCTTAACTTTCATTCTTTGAGTTAAGTTGTCGGCAATGACAAATAGCCTTTGGTCAGTGCCCACATCTAGGTACATTGACTGGTTGAGAATTGGGGTGGTTTCCAGGGCGCATCTGATCCCATCTGGATTGTTCCAATCCAAGCTCCTACACAAAATTTGACCAAACAAGGTATAAAAGCAAAGCAAGTAGTGGAAAAGTACAGAAACTTAGAAGGATGGCAAGTGATTCCTTACTTGATATGAAGAGGGGACATGCTGTTGAAGAAGACAGTGGTTCGATTTGGATTCACATTTTTCTCAATCCATTTAGACCATGTTTTCAACACTCTTTTATAGGCCACAAGCCGGTCAATCTCGTCGTATTCTGTATCCCCTCGATCGAACGAGCTTCGTCTGTTACATCAATCCGAGAACAGAAACACACAACCACATCAGATCAATTCAGATAAAATTCAAACACTGATGTAATGTTTACAATTACATACAAGACTTTCATAGTGAAAGTGTTCATCCACCAGATATATGTGTTGAAGACCAAATAGTCCACATCTTTCCAGTTCTTGCCATGTTTGTTGATTGATTCAGGCATGATTATACGATCCAAGATGCTGTGTCGTGTTGGGTCGTCAGAATTTGATTGAACCAGAAAAGGAGCCCAATAGAACTCTACCGTCGCATTGTAGTCCTGAAATTACAAATGTTAGACTATCATACCTACTCCCTCTGACAATTATTTTTCTTTTTCTAAATCAAAACCTGACGGTTCTGATTATTTTGTTATTCCTAATCCCATGGAATCTTTTCCAAGTACCTCGATTCTGAACACAGATAGAGACCCTGTTTTGTTCAAGCTCTTCCTTCCTGCAGGGACAGCAGATTGAACCAGACAAATCATGGATTCCCATTGATTTCTGTTTAGTGAGTCTCCAACAAACATAAGCCTTTTGTTCCTCAGCTTCTCAAGCAATAATCTTGGTTTGAACCTTGTAACAGAAGGGGGAGAAAGATGTCAGAATCATCAGCATCTTCAAAAGTTAACAAAGTACATAAAATTCCATTTCAAAGAGCTTATAAAGATTGTCTTACCTGGGAAGATTACAATCTCTAGGTTGCCATCTCCAATTCTGATACAAAGAATCCTTTCTTCCATTCCTCATGCAAGTAACTTGTGCCGTAAGAAACTCACACTCGTCTTCTTTGTATAAAGGATGCGTTACGTTGTCGAAAACCCATTGTCCAGTGTAGAGATCACAGCCTTCCGGAGGCAATTCGACGACCTCATCTTCTTCAACGACTGCAACAGATGTCTCAATCTTTTCTTCTTCTTTCTTCTTTTCTATCTTTTCTTCATCATCATCTTTCACAACTATGGTTTTCATGTCATGGTCAGTTTTCTTTGTTGTTTCTTCAGTTAAAGCTTGAAAGTTCAACGACGTGACCTCGTTTTCTTTCTCGCTCTTGATAGATTCTTGGACTGGACTGCCTTTTTGGGATTGCTGCTCTTGGATTTCGCTAGCTTTGGGGCTCGAAAACGGGAACTCCGCAATGGACTTCACGTCCTCATTGTACATAAAAATCCCAAACAAAAACACAGATAAAACTATAACAAAAATGGAAACATTGTTGTTTTTGCGTTGCTTCATCGCTCCTGTACTCACTTAAAGATCAGAGCTTTACGACGACCTGAGCAGCGTGAGACGAATATATAAGAGGAAAATCAATGAAGAAATACATATGTTGCGACTTGCGAGAGCTGATAATTAGGTTTATTTAGTTTAACTCATCAGGTTTGGTGAGAATGTTTTTTTTTCTTCAAATTTTCTGGTGAAGGGAGGGGGGATTCTTCCTCAAGTTTCATTTTTTTACCTTCATGGTCAAATTATGATTTTAGTCTCTCCATGTTATTACATTTATGATTTAATTCATATACTTCAATTTCATACAATTTGACTCCTATAACTTCATTGTTTAGTCCAAATATTTAATACCACTAACAAATTTGGGCAAAATAATGATGTGATTTTTTCTAAGAAATGCTCAACTCACCGTGTTGATATGGATTCTTTTGTGTGGTAGAATGAAATTTTTAAGAAAAACCAAATTATCAAATTAACCAGAATAATTAATTGTGTTAATTATTTGGATTAATTAATAACTTTAAAAGGGAAACAATCAACTAAACCATTATTGAATTTTTAAAGGACTTGCGTTGATATAAAGTCTTTGGTTGAAATCAATCCCTAATTATATGTATAGAAGTACATAGATGAAATCAAACAGTTGGAACAAATATGCTAAATTAAAATATAGGGACTAAACCTCTATTTTGAACATCATGGAGGAATGAAAAACATAATTTGAAATTTATTTTTCTAAAGCTTTCTATCTAAAAATATATTTCTCCAGAAAGAAAACTTAAGAGTGATTTCAAAGGTTGTCAAGGTCGGTCTTAGTCTAAACTAAGATTGGGAGTTAGAAGTGTTAGGTGTGGTGTTCTAAACTATCTGACAGACCCCATTGTCCATCAGAATCTGATATGGAAGCTTTGTCATACGTTGAAACTTGTTGCCTATCCTTTTCAGTATTAGCTTGTAATTTGGAGATAATCAGATGCCTTGAGTGTGTGGGGTCAGATGAAATGAAGGGCCCTGATGCATTTCAGAAGTACTGTGTCCCCGATGAGATTAGATTAGGTAGTAAATTATGTTGCAGAAGGTTTTGCAAAGAATAATGGTTCAATCATTTTCATGCAGAAAGCTGAACAGCAATATCAATGACATACATGAATTTAATTTCTAGTCCTTAGAATATTTCAGATATTTGGGTTTGAGTACTTGACGTTACTCGTTTAGGTCGTTTTGAAGGGCAAGGTTAGGTCATCGCTTTTTTTCCAAGCCAAGGCAGCTATACATTACCTTACAAACCAAGATTTATTGGTTCCAAAACACACATAATAATATATGTGAAAGCAGTACAGATAATAGCCATTTTGAATGAAAGGAGAACGAATCTGCGTATGTTCTTCTTTCTTCCATCTTCTGATTTGAATGAGTCAAATTGCTAGTTATGGGACAAAAATTTCCATGGATTGCTTTATACTATATCACTTTAGGATTATGAACATTTGTAAAAATTAGCTATACACAATGAATTTTCATAATCTGTATTGAACGATGAGATTGTCGATCAAACATATTTGTAATCATTATTCTTTAGAAGTCATTCATCATGGTACTTTTTTCATCAACACTTATTGATGCCGACAATATTGAAAATACTATCTATAATATTGAAAACAAACGAAGACAATCTTATTGAAAAATAACTAATATAGAAAAATTATACATGTAACTGACGACAACATATCGTGAAACTCAATCTAATAAAAATCATCAATGATAATTTTTTTATGACAACGCCAATTAGAATATATTATTCTTTTATTATATTACATTATCATATCGGATTACAACTAAAACATTATTGCTATTGTTATTATTTTCAATCAAATTAAATAATAATATTTTAAAAATTAAAAAAAATACGTACAAAGTACTATAATTTTTTTTATAAATATCATAAAAGTATTTTTATTTATTAAGATCCAATTTAATTATTTTGAATTTTGTATTTTCTTTGTATATTTGAATAATAAAACTTTTAGGGGTGATGCAGACGGATATAGAGGGGGGTGTCTGTTGGGCAGTAAAGCATATTTCACCTCCCGTGCTTTCTCAAAATTCAACTATCTAAATTTTACTATTAAAATTTTAAAACCACACGAAAGATCAATTTTAATTTTTAATGTTAATTGAAATATTTATTTATCAAGTTGTCACGAATAATAAAGACATTTTAAGACGCTTAAAAGGAACGCTTTTACTCAATGTAATATATATATATATATATATTTACAAAAAAATTGCCCCTCCAGCTCAGTTGGTATAGCGCAAGGCTCTTAACCTTGTGGTCGTGGGATCGAGTCTCACGGTAGGCAATTCATAATTCTGACTGTCGGAGGTCTCCCATGGAAGCTGCTCCCAACCTGACGTTGGGGGCAGCCTACTATCCTACCTCCCCTTACCCCATTACACATGAGAATAAGGTCAACTAATTTTTATGATTCCTTCAACTCAAGATCAGAGTATACTCTTAAATCTCAATCACTTGTACCGACACTCGTTAGTTTTACTCTATGTAATATAAACAATAGTCATTTATATATAATATTTTATATGTTATATTTATAAATAATTAAAAAATAGATATATTTGAACAATAAAGTAGAATAACTTGTATTCAGACGAGAGAGAAAAAGCAAAATAAAGTTGCATTTTGACAACGGAAAAAAAACATTATTTAGAAAAGGAGAAAATGTTTTTGAAAAGCATTAAACTCGATATCTATCGAGTGGATCTTTAAAGAGATAAGATTCATGATAAACTCTCCATGCATATTCTTCAAAGGAAAATGGATTAAACACTCTCTCTTCTTCCTCTTCCTTGTTTCCACAAACTTGACTTTCATCTTGGTCACCAATTCCTATACCCCCTTCATCAATGACCTTGGAAACCATAGGCTTCACTCTACTATCAACCGGAATCGTCACTAATAGCGACATTGATATGCAACCACAGTTGTTTCCATCGCCTAAACTTGCCACTGGTCTTCCTCTCACTTTGCTTACTTTCCCATTGCTCCAAACCTGTCAATACATTATTTTCTTTATCATTCTAACATGTCTCTTAGTATGCTAATTAACATTAATCTCTTCTTTGGTTGTGAAAGATCATCCTATGTCACGGTAATGGATGCAAAATTAATTTTATATAAAAGGGTGTGAACTTAGAAAGTTATATTAAAAATTCAAGAATACCAATTATAAAATTTTAAAAGTGTCAAACTATATCGGCAATAAAAAAATATAAAAAAGTATTTAACTATGTGTAAATTTAAATTTTTTGCAGCACCCCTCATATTTATCCTTACTAGATCATATGATTCTTTTTAAAACATATGAAATATTTTATAAAATACTTATTTATTTTATACAAATTCTAAATCTAATCCTAATCTTAATTCTAAATCTAATCCTAATCCTAATCCTAATCTTACTTAGAGAGAATGGGAAGGGAGACTTTAGAGGAAAGAAGATGAGTGCTCTTAGTATGTCCAGAACCCATGACCTAAGAAAATATGAGGAAATAAATACTCAAAAAATATATTTTTTACGAGGTGATTGAATATTGTTGCTAAAAACTAATTCTTTGTTTTATTTTATTTTATAAACAACGAAAATATAAAATTTACGAGGAGATTGAATTAATGTCTAAAATTATAATATAAATGTTAGACAGACATTAACTAAAAATAAAAGCTAATAATTAGTTAAGTGTGAAATGAAGCTTACTTGAGCAATGTCACCGAGGGTGACCATGATCGAATCCACTTGCGGTGAAACCGAAACCAAACCCGAATCCTTCAGCAAGGAATATTTTTGGGACCTGATTTGGTATTGCAACCCAATTACATACGGGTAAAACCCGCCCGATGGTTTATCGCGGTCCCTGTCCCCGTTTAAACCCTCTGTTATCCACATCAAAGAGCAAACTCGGGTCGAATCCTCTCCTATTGGGTTCTCAAACCCCATTGCATTTGCCAACGTATCAATGATCTTCAACCCTAGTTTCTCTAAAGACCGTGTGAACTCCCGTACAGAACTCAACGACAAATCGGTTGACTCGGTTGAACACGCAGCATCCAAGCAAAACGACTCACCCTTTCCATCCCCATCTTCTTCCTCATCATCAACGTCGAAGCCTAGAGGCCAGTTTCTAGGAAAGCGAGATTCTTTTTGGTCTCTAGCGAGTTTAAAGAGTGAGAGAGCCTCGGTCTCAGCCGAGTTAGCGAGTTGGGAAGGTATGTTATGGTTTTTGAGTTGGAAAAACCCGAGTTCGGAAGCGGAAGAGAGGAGGAGATGATTAAGATTAGGATCAGAGAGAGAGAGGGTAGGAGGGGAGATGATGGCGGATGGGGAGGAGCGGCGTTTAGGGAGGGAGAGAGTAGGAGGGAGGCGATGGAGGAGCTTGGAAAGTGCATCCACGGCGACGCCTGATGGGGCGCTGTGATGATTGGGCTGCGCGGAAGGGGTTGGCGGTGGGGCTGCGGTGGCGCCGTACAAGTTTGGCAAATATTGCTGTTGCTTGTGAGTTGAAAATGCCATGGATATGGAAAGAAAGAAAAGTCTTAGCTGTATAATGTATATGATAAATGATAATTATAAAATTGTTGAATATATAGAAAAGTTGGTGTCTCACACATGTGTGTGAATAATTTTTCTCACGTGCGGACGAATAAGGTTTTAGATATATAACTATTTTATAACTTTTAATAGTCATCTACTAACCAAATTAACATCATATAATTGAAGGATAATTTATGTATTTTACCCAACATTTTTATTGTTAATATTCTAAGGGGTTGTTTGTTAAAACTGAATGGTTTAACACTGAATGATTTAGCAGTCTAAATGATTAAGAGGCTCTGTATGATATAGTTCTGAATAGAAAATTTGTTTGATAATACATCTGAATGGCCGATCTGAATGACAAAAAATGACCATATTACCCTTCTATATGATTTTGTGCCAAAATAAAATATATTTGTTTATACCTTGTGAATAAATACTAAAAAAATATTTTACTTTTTGATGTTTATAAAAACACATTTTTTGTCAAAATTATCAACATTGATAATAAACAAATCTACTAACATGAAATGACATAAAAGAGGGGTTTATGTTTTTGATGAAACAAAATACATAACAAGTATTCTTTTATTCTAGACAAATAATAAACACCTCCAAAAAGTATTCTTTTGTTTTAATCCAAAGTATTTCTAATTATCAAAAAGTATTTCTACTCCAAAGGTATTTCTAATCCAAAATACACATTATAAAAGACATCTCCTTAATCATCCCAAAAGTCCAAAACTACTCCCAACATTTTTAATCCAAAATACACATTATATTTAGAGGACCAGAACTCCATATATCCATTGGTCTATTAATTTCTATGGTCTAATAACATATCTAGACTATTAATTTCTAGTCTAAAAAACTGATGCTTTAGTCAATTAGTTACTACACTGGAATAAAATTAGTTATTAAGGAGCAGACAAATTTATTCATTGAACCTAAAATTCCAGGATTATACCAATTTTTCTCCCTTATTTTGCAATGAAACTTATTGCACTCATAGTATATATAAGTCCTTTTTACATGTAAGTTTGATGTCTTTCCCTTGGCTTACATCAATGGCAGTTGGTACAAAACAATGCTTAATAGCAAAAGAAGGAGAGAAATCCATGTGTAACTAAACACCAGTAGCTGTAACACCCTCAACTCGTATCCGACCCGAATACGAGTCTGAGGTGTCACACTGACTTTTCAAACTTTGACTCTTGACAAAATTCAAAGAAAATTCAAAACTTTCAATAAAATAAAAGTTGTTTATTTACATAAATTGACCAAAATAACCAAAAATCGATCAGAGCCTATACAACTCACTCAATTAGTACATGCCAACTATATTCAGATTAACCAAACACATTTAAATCATCTATTTTCTGATCTGAAACTTTGTAAGGAAAATACTGACCTGTCTTGCTCCTCTTAACTCTTTACTCTTCTCACTTCTGTAACCTACGTGTGAAACAATCACACGCTAAGTCGTTGACTTAGTGAGGCATAAAACATATAATAAAACTCTAACTCGTAATCATGCTTGAACAATTTCTACTAACATATCACATACATGCATCACACCCACATATACATATAATAATTCCTACTATGCACCTTTCATATATTCATCTATATATATATAATCCACGCATACATATAATTATCTTCTTTCATATCATTATCATATTATCACCTTTCATATTTCTATTCTCTTGTTTATATGATCAATTAAGTTCATATCATATATCTTATAGCATATACAATAATCACTAACACACATATATCATATCCTATAATTCATATTTAAAAACACATATATATATATCACATATATTACATTCAATGTTATCTCTTATTAGCCCATGTGCACCTATGAGAACTGTAGATATGTGAGTCTATTGAGGTTGTGCACCACTATGTTGTCACCACAGCTCATATAAATGTCCCGAATGACCTATCCAGAGGTCACAAAGACCCCGGTAACTATCCAGAGGTCATAAAGAACCTCGGAAACTGTCCATAGGTCCCAAAGAACCTAGGTAAACTGTCCATATGTTCTTTAGAACATAGGTATACTGTCCATATGTCTCGAAAGACATATGTAAAACTGTCCATATGTTCCGTAGAACATAGGTAAACCCTCGACTCTTGGCATGCCAACTATACCCCTAGCTCTCATATCACATAACATGGGCATTATCATCTATAGCATTTCATATCACTTGTTCTTTCTTTTCTATCATATACCACAAATATGTGTAACCATATATTTCATATCATATCACATGTATCACATATTGCATATTCATGTAATCATATAGATCATGTCATATAGCTTATATCATTTCTCATATTCCTATATATATATAGTTCACTTTCACATATTACAATTTCCTTTTCTCCTATTTTTCATATCATGTGTCTTATAACCACATATGTCTGTCTTATCTCATATCCTATAATTCTTTAGCTTATATCTTATATCATATGTTTATATCATATAACTTATGTAATCACATATACTATTTATATTAGTTCACATAGCTTCTTTCACTAACATGTATTCACATATCTCATATCTTATACTTTGTTTTCTCATGTTCACATATAACATGTCATATGGCTCATATCTTTCTCATGCAGTCATATAGTTCAGTTTCTCATATGTTCATTTACTTAATATCTTATGTTATCATTTAGATCAACCATACTTAGTTTATCTCACTTTTCATTTATTCACTTAAATCTAATTCATATAATTGATACCTTATCATCATACCATTACCTATATCTGTTGCACATAAGATCACATGTAACACCTATGACTATATTCATGCATAAATAATAATCATATCACCCATATTAACATTCATAAAATCATGTAATCAAATATTGGGAGTAAACTCATCGCGAGTCTTTTCCCCACACATCATATACTAATTCATATGCACTCACTTTGTCCTCACTAAGTTCGATCCACTTTTATGATTTCTTTTCTTCCGATCGAATCTTAACTTGATAATCGTTCCGGAACTTGTTAATGTTCGATATCTATATAATCATACATTGATACATATCAGTATCCAATTGATATATTCTAAACTATCACTCCAAAGGATAAAAAGAAAGGTATTTTAAACTTTTAATAGAAGCATGCATCGATGAAATACCCCATATATCGATGTATCCCTAGACAGGTGCATCGATGCACTATCTATGCATCGGTGCATAAATCACATTCGATGTTTGTATTTTAGGGGATGCATCGATGCACTCCTTATGCATCGATGCACCAATCGCATTCGATGTTTCTATTTTAATGGGTGCATCGATGCACTTCCTGTGCATCGATACACACCGAACAATTTCTAGAGATTTACCCTTGATGCATCGGTGCACCTTGAATGTGCATCGATGCACATAGCTCAGAATTCAATTTTAATCCTGAAAATCTACTCAAATCAACTCAAATGCTTCATCTTTCATTCCCCTATCATGTTCTCAACTCACATACACATATTCAAGCTCATTTCTATTCATTAATCACCTCCTTAACATCAAAATCATATTCTCCATATGTAATTAAATAATTACACTAAATTTTCAACATGTTCCAAAATCAATTCTATTGCTTCTAACTTCTTAATTAAACACTTGACAAGTTAAATTCATCCTTGGAAATTCAAAAACCTTTTTATAATAAAAAGTTCATTTATAAACCCATTAATAGAAATTCCTTTCTAATTCTCTCTCTTTGGTGTTTTAAATTTATATAAGTTTTCTTTAAGCTTATATAACCCCCAAAGACTCAAATCCAAATTAAAACTTTCAAGAAATTAACAGCTAATTCAAACTTACCTTTGCTCTTGGCGTCCACATGAAGAAGAAGAAGAAGAAAGGAGAAGAGAACTCTGGAGAATTCTCTCCCTTTCCACGTGTATTTATCCTTACCAATCCCATTTTTAATTCATTTCTTGGTCAATTGACCCTTTTGCCCTTTATTTCCTTTAATAATTACTAAATAACCTTCATCATATATATCCAATAATCATTGAACTATTTTATTCTTCTACTTTAGTCACCAAATTCTAAAACTTTACAATTTGGTCACTAACCCGGTATTGTGGATGTTACAAATCTCCCCTCCTTTTTAAGAAAATTCGTCCTCGAATTTTCACTGGACATCTTGATAGAAACATATCTTCTAAAGTTCTCATGTTATTTCATTAAATTAATCTTTCTTGTCATCATCAGAAACTTACTTTTCAATCCTTTAGCTTTTCAATTGCCTTTTTCCTTTATATATATTCATATCATGTCACTTATCATTTAAACAGCAACCAGTAACTTCAATCAATTTTCATCAATCAACAACCTAAATCCATCTCTAACTACCTTATAATAATAACCAAATTCGTTTTCCATCATCATTTAACCAAAAAACACGACCTTAAATATTCTTTAAATATGATTCAACATACACTTTTAAAGAATCTATTCACATCACCTTGCACACTTTTCTTACTTCTATATCAAAATTATCATCTACATTCCATATAACCTTTATCGTATCTGATCCTTTAACTCAATCCCTTTCATTTCTTTATTCCATTCTTCCTTTATTTATTCCTTATACACAAATCATATCTTTCCTTTCATGTTCACATACTCTTGTCTTATCACCTATACTCATCTCTGTGTAACAATCTTCATTGCATCCTCATAACTTTGATATCCCTATTTCTTATACAGAACTTTATTCTTATACAGAACTTTATTCTTTATCATCTCTTGTATTTGTATTTTCTTCTTTAAAGCCACTTTTTAAAACATACCAATGCTTATCTCTTTGCCTACATCATATCTGTATGATCAAAATACATAACCACATCCAGATTCATATCATATTTGATTAACTCAACTTTATCTTTTCCTTCAATCTTATAACTCTAGCACCTTTACTCTGACAGCTATATAATAACTTCTGTTTAATCTAGGCCACAAGC